GACAATACAGTCTTGAATAAAATAGTCTGAAACAGAGACTTTGACACAGATCTCAGAAAAATAACACCTTCCTCTTTCTCATCAACATATCCAACACTAGGTCACGAAGTCCCATCTATTTTTCTACTAAATATAATTCTCGTCTGTTCACTTCTCTCCATGCTCACTACTAACACCCTAGTCCAAGCTTACATTGCCACTGACCTAAACTACCATACTCACTTCTTAAATGATCTCCCAACTTCCAATTTCTCCCTCCCCCTGACAGCAACAAAAAATCTGTTCTCCACACAGCAACAACAGCACTCTTTTTATGGTATGAATCTGATCAATTAAGCCTTTATAGGCTTCCCATTTCTCTTAGGATAAAAACAAGACTTACCAAGGCCTGTGAGGCATTGTTGCATGTGATTGGTGCCCTTGGCCCCCTAGCCAGCTACCACTCACCCTTTGCCCTGAATCCCCACCCCAGAGCTGCTTCTCCTCAATGGCTACATTGGTACAGAAAGGCCTGGAAGGCTTGTCCTTCATGTCTCAACTCAAGTATCCATTCTTTGAGCTGAACTCCTAGACAGGGTCACAGCACTGCCAAGCACCACCTTGCAGCTCTTGATGAAGAGGCAGATTCAGGCAATAATTCAATAAATACTTATGTCCACCTCCCTTAGTTTACTGTAAACCAGTCATGCACAGGAAAGACAGCCTTTTGGCTCATCCCCAGGATCTAGCACATAATTCCTAGATTACAACAAAAGATGTATTCAGTAAATGACTGCTGAATGAATTCATTAATGAACAAATCCAAGGCCGGGCACAGTGGCTCACGCCTGTAATCCTAGCACTCTGGGAGGCAGAGGCAAGTGGATTGCTGAAGGTCAGGAGTTCAAAACAAGACTGAGCAAGAGTGAGACTCAATCTCTACTAAAAATAGAAAGAAATTAATTGGCCAACTAAAAATACATAGAAAAAATTAGCCAGGCATGGTGGCGCATGCCTGTAGTCCCAGCTACTCGGGAGGCTGAGGCAGCAGGATTGCTTGAGCCCAGGAGTTTGAGGTTGCCGTGAGCTAGGCTGACACCACAGCACTCTAGCTAGGGCAACAGAGTGAGACTCTGCCTCAAAAAACAAAAACAAACAAAAAAACAAATCCTAAGTAAAATGTGATTGGGAAGCTCCAAGTATAGTTGGACTATCATTATTTAGATAGGGGGACTAAAGATAATGAAAACATATCATCAGCAAATGCTAAGTTTGCCCCAGCTGACCAGTATCCAGCAATTACCAAATGTTGGTTTGACTAAAATCTCTATACAAATAAAAGGAAGCCACAAAGAAAATAATGTACAGTAATCCATTCACGTTAAATATGTATCACATCAAGTATATAAGAACAGGACAATAAAATTTCCTAAAGGACTCTGAATATTCACATTATATCAAGTGTAGCATACACATGGACATCATATGAATGTGACAGTCTTCACTGATGCGAGTTTACAAGTTTGGGAATGTGAATTCTTCTGGCCACACCACTGGGATATAGTCAAAAGGAGCGAGAGTGATAGAGGAGACCTGGCTTCCACTTGCCCACCGAGTGACCTCAGGAATGTCCCTGGACCTCTCTATTAGTTTCCTAATCCACCAAAAATTAGAAATAACAATTTTCCTATGACAAGGTGGTAGTTGGGACTAAATAGAGTGAAACCCCTTTAGATCTGTCAACAACTATAGAAATATAAGTTATTGTTATGATAGCTGTTGTAAATATCATTGGTAATATTACTTCATTTGAAGAGCTTGTGTTTCAATCATTTGTATACATTCACTGATTTTGAGTCCTTGACATAAAATTTAAAATAGGTTTTAATTTAATTTCAATGTCCCAAATGTCTTTATTTTCATTTTTTAAACCTCATAAGGCTTATTCTTATAAGCACTTTAGGGTATTTATTTAATCCTCAAAACAACTCTATGAGTAGTATTGTATCTCTAACTTAACAGATGAAGAAACTAAGGCACTAAAAAGTTAAGTAACATGGCCAAGATCTCATATCTAGTAATTACAATAAGAACAAATGTTTACGTGGTGGTCACCCTGTGTCAGCACTGTTCTAAGCGCTTTCCATACATCACCCAATATATTTTCCTAACAAATCTATAGGTGGCTGCCATTATTGTCCCCATTTTACAAATGAGGGAAATGTGGCCTAGAGAGGTTAAGTCGTTTGCCCAGGTCACATAGCTGGTAGGTGGCAGAGCAGGGATTTTAAGTTAGGCAGAGCCCTCCCTATTAATCTTGTGTGCTAATAACTCTCATTTATTGGTGCCATTATCTACCTTTCTATTTGCCTCTCTTTATTCTAGATAAATGTTTACCTCTTTAATAAACAAATATCACTTTATACATACTTCTTTCAAAATTAATTAAAAATTCCCTGTGTTTTGCAAAATACACTAAATTCCTGATGGCTCAAGGTCAATGCTACAGCTGCTGTGCCTTATCTGTCCTGCTTCTAGTTCTTATTTTAGTTTTTATACGAGGGCTTTTCAAAGTCTCTTTTCAAGATATGAGCCAATTGATTATCATTTTATCACTTTGATTCTGCTGACTGCTTTGAAGCTAGAATCTATGTCCATTATAACTAATCCTAAAATAAGATTAGATAAGCCCTGAGTGAGTGGATGCCAACTCCACGAATTTAAGTACATGGATGACCTTTATTATTACTACTGCAGATTTTAGCTGAGATGAGGGAAAGTCTGACCTATAGATAAGTATGAGGGATTATTTTGCCAAATGAAAAATCATGTATTTTATTCAGTGCTCATATTCTTTTTCTTATGACACATGCCAGGCATATACATTAGTATGTTTAAAGTTTCCTTTTCTCTGAAAGATCAAATTTTTCAAAACTATAAGGGTCATTCCCCAATCAAAGCCACAGACTCTATCTCCAAGCTGACACTTTCTATCCCTCTATCCTGCTTTATTTTTCCTGTTTACCTATCTCTCTGCCCTAAGTAGAACATAACACAAATAGCAAACATTTGCATGGTACTTCTTATGTACCCACCATGGTTCTAAGAAATGTGTCCATATTAATTCATGTAATATTCACAACCATTCCATTTTACAGGTGAGGATTTTACAGGTTGTACTTTCTTTTGCCTTGCCCTTATCTAGCATGGAGCCCTGGACCTACTAGATGGTCAATAAATATGTAGTATAATGACAGGATGGTGTCCAAGAAATTGCACTTGACTGAATCAAAAGATTGATAAAGCTGATTAGAGGCTAAGCAATTTGTTACGGGCCACAGAGGTAAAATGCTAAAACCCATGTATGTACCACTCCAAAGCTTAGCTCTTGTAAACCATGCTGTTTTCTCTCTCTCCCTTTTTAAACTTATGCCACATAATCACAGCTGCCATGATAATGACTATGGCATGAAATACAGACTGTGCATTGAAATACAGCTTCCAACTAAGGGCCTTGAAATTAAAGTAAAACCTGTAAATTAAACATTCAGCTTTTATAAACAAAAGCTTTATTGGCTGGAAGTTATTTTTTACTTTTCTGGAACTAATAAGGATGCCATGAAAAATAAAAACTTCTCATTTTAGAGATTCATTCATTTAACAAGTATTGGTTGAGCACCTGCTACATGCCTTGTACTGGGCTAACTGCTAGAAGTACAAAAATAGTAAGACAAACATGGCCTCTGTCCTCTCTCACACAGAGAGAGTCTCTCATAAAGAGATAGTCTAGAGGAAGTAGTAGAAAAACAATCAGGCAACACACAAAGAATGATTAGGGAGTGAGGGCAGGGATAGGGAGGGTGAAAAAGAGTCCATCCTAGGCAGTGAGCAACAGGTGAGATAACCACACACAGGAGACAATGTGGCATGTTCTGGGAACAAATAAAATGGAACTGCTGATAGATGGCCTATATAAGGATAGATTAGGGTAATGAAAAATCTTTGTAGGACTTTAAGCAGGAAAGGGAAATGCCCTTATATACTTTTTAAAAAGATCACTCCTAACAGTGGTGGGGAAGATAGGTTAGACAGAAGCAGACCAAAATCAGGGAAGCCAGGCATTTAAACTAGCAATGGGACTGGTGGAAATTATAAAATACTAAGAATGGAGGTGGTGATGTGGGAACTGATTCAACATTTATTAAGAAGGTATATAGCCTTGATCATTGTTGGAGATGCAGAGGAAAAGGCAGTTAAGTGTCAAGGATGTTGCCTGGGGTGTGAATTTTGATAACTGAATGGATGATAGCACCCAAAACAGGGAATCCAAGGGCAGTAACAGTCTGGTGAGGGTGGGTGGGGGAAGATGGCATTTAGGGTTGCACGTGTGTAGAGTTAACTGGCAGTTAGATGTTGGCGCCTGGTGCTTAGAGGAGCAGGCTAGGCTCAAGGTGGAGGCTTTCTAGGTATCAACAGACCAGGGCTAGCAGGAAAGCAGAGGGGCTAAATAAGAGCGGCACCATTTAAAGGGAAGGCAGAAAAGCGACGCTCATAGAAGAGATTTAAGAACTAGCCTCCAAAGGCGTCTGAGCAGATTGGAAGGGACACACTCAGGCTCCATTTAACTTTTACCGAAATGGAAGCGTCATCAGACATCTGTGATGGCACTTTCCCACCATCCATCCATCCATCCATCCATCCATCCATCCATCCATCCATCCATCCATCCATCCATCCATCCAATACAAACCCATCTGTTCTGGGGAGACTGGCTCACGCAGTGACTGATCTACCTAAGGCAGCCCACATCCTCAGCCGCTGCCTCTCGTCGAGCGAAGCTGGCTCCCGCGGCTTCAGGACCGCTCCGCAGGGAGCCGGGGGCGTCTCCCCGGAGACCCTGCCTGAAACCGCGCGCCGGCACAGCGCAGCCCGGCTCCCGCACCACTCACCGCGCCGGAGGGACGGTCCCTCCTTCAAGCCAATCTCCAAATCGTCCTTCTCATCGCCCCTGCTACGGTCACCTGCTGCTCCAGATCGGGGAGTCCCGTCCAGTCTCGGCCTGTCCCGCCCTCCCTCCTGTCCACTCCTGGTCCCCTCAACCTCGGGGGCACAGCGGCCAGCGGCGCCGTCGGTTTCTCAGTCAAATCCTCCTTCAGGCTACCAACCGGCGCTGGCTGAGCCAATGCCGACGCTTCTTCCTCCAACCCCGGGCACCTCGGCCAATAGAGAACGGCCATGCTGCGAAGTGCACAGCGCCTAGCGACAGATGACGCCTGCCACACAGTTGCTGTAGCAACCAAAACGGGCTGGGTCCAGCCCGCTGCAAGCAAGAAAGGAGGCAGAAGGTGCCTTAAAGCTGTGCTGCAGCCGCTTCGCAAGGCCATAGAGCTACCCACAGGTTTCCTAAAAGCCGTAAAGTCTGGACTTGGCGTGCCCAAATTTTGGCGGGAAAGAACAGCTTCATCCTGGGGTGTTTAACTTCAAGAATTACAGAGGGCTAAAAATCAAATCAATTCTCTTTCAAAGATTTAACTTGATAAGAAATCAACGCAACATGCTAACTAGTTTTCATATGGTATAAAAACATTTTTCAGTTGCTCAAGCGTACTGCATGATGCTGCGAAAAATACGAGTGACCTGGGATTCCAGAGATCTGTATAGTACACCTCTCACCAGATCGTTTTGTTGTCTTGGACAAGTCATTTCACCTTTTGTAAAATTCTGAAGCTTGTTTAAAAATTGTGAATTGCATTAAAGCTTTAAAAAAATATTTGACATTATGGAGCTTTAAAGATTGAAAAACACCAAATTTATTGAGTGCTCAATTTTATGCTGGGCACTATCCAAATTCGTTCCTCATTTTATTTCACTTACTCTTCACATCAGCTGATAGTCATTTTTTTAAATCACAATTTAGATGTAAAACGGAGGCACAAGAACTTTCCTAAGCAGTCCAACATGGCAGAGCCAGTAAGTGATGGAGTCTAGAGCCCAGTCTTAACCACAATTATGGTCTCATGACAATTTCTTCTAGCACAGAACCCTACTTAATACTATCTTAATATCACACTAAATGCCCATTTGTGTGTCAACCTGGTGATTAAATCTCCCAAAACCTGATTTTAAATGAATACAGTGAACCCTTCCCTAATGTTCCTCTACTTTGAATAATAAGTAGGCCCAATAGGATAACAAAGCTTGGGTTTGTGTAATTGAAAGCATTTTTTTTTTAATTAAAAAAGGTCCTATTTCAGAAATGTAAAAAAGTGACATGAAAGTCAAACTCAGGTAAATACAGTGGAACTAATTAAACCTCCGAGAACATAAAACCATCAGAATTAATGTTACCAATCAAAAAACAAAAAGGTGGCCGGGCGCTGTGGCGCGCCTGTATTCCTAGCACTCTGCGGGGCCGAGGCGGGCGGATTGCTCGAGGTCAGTTCGAAACCAGCCTGAGCAAGACCGAGACCCCGTCTCTACTATAAATAGAAAGAAATTAATTGGCCAACTAATACATATATAGAAAAAATTAGCCGGGTATGGTGGCACATTCCTGTAGTCCCAGCTACTTGCGAGGCTGAGGCAGGAGGATTGCTTGAGCCCAGGAGTTTGAGGTTGCTGTGAGCTAGGCTGACGCCACCGCACTCACTCTAGCCTGGGCAACAAAGTGAGACTCTGTCTCAAAAAAAAAAAAAGAAAAGGTGACAGGGGCAGAAAGACTTATGCTGAGTAGAAAAAGTAAAGCATTCTATACATAATTCTAAATATTAAGTAGTAAGGCCACTGAACATCTAATCTTCACAGGAATAGCAACCATACTTCCCAGCTTTCTAATTCTCAGCAAAACAGAGTCTTGAACTAATGTTTGGGCCTTCCCTGAAAATGACTGAAAAGTTGCATAGAAAGTTGAAGTGGCATGAATAACACTGACTCCAGAAGAGAGGTGCACTGTCATCTGCAAATGCTAAGTCCATATAGTGCTCTGGAGTGTGATAAAGGTATATAAGACCGCAAAGGAGTCTTACACCAAGCTTATACAGCTTATGTAGCAGGGCTTAAAACTGTTAAGATCTAACACTTTTTTGTTTTCTAATACCCCTTTTACTATTCTGAAACGAACGATGCATAGATAATGTAAATTATATACTTCAAAAGTAAAACAGTACAATGTCCCAACTACAGCATAAAGAATAAAGGTAACTTAAATGTGCACTGAAACAGACACTCAGGGTGGACTCAACAAGAAGACAGAACCACTTCCCAAAATTTCTAAAATGCCTCTAGACTAATGGTCTAGGAGAAAGGGATAATTAATCAGATACACCCTTTAAACGGAGAGGTGAGAATGATCTTACAGATGGAAAGGAGAAGGCTGAGAACAATTTGAAGTAAAGGCAGAATTTAAATCTGGTTTTGGAGAAGTAGCATAGAAGCAGAAAGGAAGGTTTTCTAAACAACAGAAATGTTTTCATTAAAAGAACTGCGGTAGGAATGTACAAGTCAACCATGGAAAAAAACTGATAGTCAAGAGATCAGATAAGCCTCAATTAGCAAAATCAAACAGATCAAACAAAAATCAGTAAGAAATTCTCTATTTTCCTTTTCTCTTTCTCCCTCTCCTAAAAAAATTCTCAAAGTTCTCTAGATTGGAATTATAAATTGACAAAATATTTTTACTAAAATAAATGTAAACAAAATTTTCAAATAAAATTTCCAAAAACATAACTACATTTACCCATCTTACTTCCAAATGTTATCAAATTCATGATGAGATATCAGAAGCTTTTCAGTGCAGCAAACAGGAGGAAAGTGTTACATACATGCCAGATGGGAAACAATCCAAGCCCCGTCCTTTGCTAGTAAGGAAAGAATTCATAATAAAAACAGCCATTAAAATCAAAAAAGAAAAACATCCCTTGAGCTTGTGAGAGTTCACTATTATCAATCAAATCATTATACATTATATAGCAAAATGTCTAAATAGATATGTCTTAAAATTGGGAAAAAATGGAACAGCCTTTTGAGAGGGCTTTAATTTCACTATTTCTTAACTATCAAATATCATAGCAGAATATACACTATTTTGTTTTACTGTTCTTTCTCGCTGTCCTCTTCTCTTTCTCTCCTACTGAAAAACATGAATATGAAGTGGTAGGAAACAGATATCACTCATTTCTTTCCTTTCCCACGCCATCTCAAGTTGAGAAAGAGATGTAGCTCTTCTAATAATCAAAGTACAAAGACAATAGCCAAAAAACTAATTAAGTAGACTTTTATTGCTCAATTAACTTTAATAACATCTCCAAAAAATAGTTTTCCTCTAACAATTATGAAACAAATTTGAAAGGCAGGATCATTCACATTATAGACTCAGTAGAGACTAGTACTTCATATAAATGAAAAATAACAGTTCTACAATTTAAATGTTTAATTTACTTTGGATTTTATTACAAAACAAAATATCAGTGTAATTATAAAAGTCATAAAAATTGGAATTGTACTGTGAAATTACACCAAAGTATCAAATATTATATAAATGAACAATAAAATTCAATTTTTGCTTATTTAAACATAGTAAACATTAGAAGACAACCTCCCCCCAGGAAAAAAAAAAAAACCTTGAATAATAAAGCAACAAAAGAAAAGTCACAACAAAAAAGCAATCAATGTGCAAAAAACCTCTTATTTAAAAAAACAAAACAAAACTGGGGTTTAACAATTACTCTAAGTCAATTGTTGAAGTCAGTATGTGCTAATTAAATTTAATTTTAAAAATGATCTTTAGAAGATTCCATTTCCAACTATGTTTTCCTAAAATTGGCATTTTACTTTTTGAAAAGTTAGGAAAAAGACTTTACATTAAAATCGCCAAATATTGCAATCTGAACACTATTTTAAACTTTGAATGTCCTTGAAGTCTTTAAATTTACTTTCTAAAAAATAAATAATTGTTGGAATAAACCAAAAGACATTCCACTTATTTTCACTGCATATGATAACAATGATGTGATCTACATAAATAAATTTAAAACATTAAGTTATTTAATATAAACATTTTGAATTACAATGTTGTATCAATGGCTTACACATCTGAAATCTGAGCACTTTAAAACAGTATTCACATGTTAAACTGTTGAGCCCATTTACAGAACTGATGTACATGATATAATCCTTTAAACAAAGCTAGCTCTGGTGTTATACCTCAGTTTCAGCGAGCATTTATCTTTTTATAGAATTTTGAACCTGCCTTTGTGAAAGGTAAAAGTTAGAAAGCTATTTATACTCATACAGAAATTTTGAGTATGTGGAAGAAACAGAAATGCTTTTTTTGGATAGAGAAAAACAAAAGTTATAATTTTAAGTGGTAAACAAATCTGCATTATAAATATTATATATGCGTCAGCACATACAAATTTTGTCCTACACATTTTTACAGAAGACTTGGCAAACATGAACACTGGTACACCAAAGCTTTCTTAAACAACGTAATCGAGATTTAAGATTGCTAACACTCATACACACACATACATAAACACACACATACATAAACACACACACACACTCTTCAGAAAGATGGTGTGCTTCACTTCGGCATATCTAATATTATTAAAGAATATATAGAATCATCCTTTTATCATAAGGAAGTCAGTTCATTATTTTCTCAAAAGCTGCTATTTTAGATTGAAACAGCATTCAGAAGAAATTAAATTTCAGATGGTCAGCATCAGGATTTACTACAGCCTTTGTAAACAGACATCTATAAATAAATAAAATAGAATAGAGAAAAGAATATCCTGAGGTGGCTCAGTGGCCAGGGTATTCAGTAGCACTAAGCTCCATTCTGGAAATCAAGGCATCTAAGAAAGTGCAGGACTGTTTATTTGAATTTATTTTGTAAATTGAATATGTACAGTTTTAATTATTTTGCACCTTGAGGTAAATCAGTACATAGCAATTACTACTGCTTATATACACCTATTTAAGGCAACATTTAAAAATCAACATATGTAGTAAATTGTATCTTTCACTGTCTTGCAAATGAATGCTATTCATGATTGTTATTTTTCAAAAATAGTGGAAGAAATCTCATAACCACTTAAAACAAGCAGTTAATGACTTAAACATGAGTTACCTTTGCTCTTCAATGGAGTAGTCATATCAGATCATTTTGTAAGTCAAGTAATCAAAAGAAAGCAGAAACCATTAACAATTAGAAGCATGGTAAAAACATTTTGAGAGCAAAGTATTTTGCAAGTTATGGTTTTTCTGGCACTGGATAATTACTATACATAATTAAATAAAATCACAGAGACACTATGATCCCAGGTAGTTTTCAGTTTAAATTTTAAAACCACTTCCTGTAAAATAAGTACAGTTGTTAACCCTTTGATGTCCAGACACAAGGAAATGATGTGAGGAAATCCTCTTGTTCAGGTACATCAGGGGAGTTTAAAAAATAGCAGCAAATACTGGGGTCTTTGGAAATGATTATGCTGCTATGAATAAAAAAGAATCACTTCAATGGAAGCTCATAAACAATCATAAGCACCATGGGTAATACTCTATCAATTGCCAACAGAGTCTAACTCTTTTTTAGGCAGTACCAAATGATGTCAGCTATATTTTCTAAAGAAAAGCAGCTACATTTCCAACCTCTCATCTGAGGCAAAAGTTGAATCCATCATTTTAATTAGAACCTCACGATATGGTCTCAGATAAGGAAATTACATTAGTAAGTAGTTTAGAATGAATTAAAAAACCAGAATTGCTAAAATATCAGCTTTTGGCATTCCTCATGATCCTCTAAAAGATCAATTCTTCATACTTTTGTGTTTAATTATAAATGGTTAGAGAGAGCATTAGAATTTCATTAAAATTTTCACCTTAATATTCATGTTACCATTTCTGATATTTCCATGGCTTCTCAATACTCATTAGATTATTGTAAATTATTTTCTTTCCAAATCAGTTTCATAACCCCATTCATCCAGTCCTACAGGCTTAACAAGAACATTTATTTATTTCATGTGGAGCTAAAAGATGACTAAAAAGATTTGCTAGAAGTTAAAAATACATCTCAAAAAAGCAAAAACTAACAAATATTAACACCAAACAGGAAGAATGCCATCAATCTGAGCTAAACATAAAATGTCTAAATTTCCTTTTAAAATACAAATATGGCAGTGCTTTATATCAAAGATCTAAATTCTAACTGCTTTCAGATAATGAACATAAATGCAAGTGAGCACCAGCTATTTACATTAACAATTTACTCTATATATGTTACCTTTTCAAATGTTTATAGAATATTTGAGCATATCAATTAAAATAAATAAAATATTTTAAAATAAAATCACAGGTAACAATCTATTAAATATAATCTACACAA